AATATTAGAGAAATCAATAATAAATAACAGTTTCCGAAGTGAAGCGAGGGCGGGTCGCTAGTTCACATATAAATGCTAAAATTTGCGGGTCTGATTCTTATTTCACGGTATTCAGTACCCTATTGTGCAAGGCGTAAACATGTGCTTTATTATGTATTTTCTATAAATGCAATGCAATGCAATTCTTGCAAAATTTTAAAACCAGCTTTATATGTTAATATCGGCATGGCTTGATACGAGTGATTAGTTATTTCATTCTTCTTCACATATAAAAGGCTAAAAATAATTTAAATAAAATATATTTCAGGAGATGCAAATGAATCCAAAAAAGTAGTGCAATAAAAAAAAAAGTGAACACGTTTTTTTTTCAATAATCCAAAACACACCTTTTCCTTGTATTTTTGTTTGTGTTAAAAAAAAGATAATAAAATCTGTAATCAGAATTACATCGTAAAATATGGATATTAATGTTAAGTATAGATATGTGTAGGCGTTTTTCGTTAAAGCAGATAGGCTGGGGTTATAACACGAGCTAGGGGCTATCAGTGGCAGATGTTACCAACAATTTGATCTTTTTTATTATCGTCTTATGGTTTTCGTCGTTATATCAAATTTGTTTGTCTTACGAAGCAAAAAGCGGTCGGTATCTTATCTATATCTATACTAATATTATAAAGAGGAAAGATTTGTTTGTTTGTTTGTTTGTTTCGAATAGGCTCCGAAACTACTGGACCGATTTGAAAAATTCTTTTTCCATTAGAAGCCGACATTGTCCCTGATGAACATAGGCTACTTTTTTAAATTTTTTTTTTTGTTTCATGTGTGTTTTAATTTTTCCGAAGCGAAGCGAGGGCGGGTCGCTAGTTGATATATAAAATAATGGAATCGAAAAATGTTGGTTTTTGATGAGAGAAAGCAAGTTATAACTAAGCAAGGCGTTTTACACCAGTCTAGTGACATTTATGGACGATTAGAGGCATTAAGAAAAATTTGAATTGCTTCAGTAATTATTTACCGAATATTTTGCATACAAAATTCTTCCTCTCGTGTTATCATTTTAAGAGTAACATTCGAACTTTATTTATTTATTGCATAGATGGGTGGACAAGCTCACAGCCCACCTGATGTTAAGTGGTTACTGGAGCCCATAGACATCCACAACGTAAATGCGCCACCCACCTTGAGATATATGTTCTAAGGTCTCACGTATAGTTTACAACTAGAACTATCGCGTTGGTCTAATGACAAAACGTCTAATCAGTCGAAGAACAAATTTGCACTTGCATGATTTTTTTTTTTTTTTTTTTTTTTCCCTTGTAGGCAGACGAGCATACGGCCCACCTGATGGTGAGTGGTTACCGTCGCCCATGGACTTCAGCAATGCCAGGGGCAGAGCCAAGCCGCTGCCTACCGTTTAATAATAATTTGAACTGAACATACTAAAAGGTCGCTGCTATGGATCATAGCAGACGTTACGGCGGTGGATGTGGTAGAAGCGACACCAGATATTTATGATCTCAATCGAGTTGTTTCTCAATGATTGAAACAAACGGATTCTCATTGTGTTTTTCATATTAGCTACACGATGAAGTGGAAGTGGCATTGGATTGGTCACATATTAAGAAAGCGCGATACTCTAGGTGGGTCCAAGAGAACGCTGACCTGGAAAGTGTCTGGAAGAGAGGCCGTCCCGGAACAACTTGGCGTTGCTCGGTGGAGTAGGCGCTGGGCGTTTTGGGAATTGAAGGGTCGGTTCCTTCATTTGTCGTCTATTTTATGTACATGAGAACCGTCAATACATTCCTTGTCGTCTGGTTCGTGTCTATAGATAGTATTAGATAGTATTAGGTTAGTTGTAGGAAAAAACCAAGCTGACGACAGCACGGCGCTGGTGGGAGCTTTGTCACTCCTGGCAGGATTCAAACCATCATATTATATTTATAAATGTCGTATATATGTCGATGTGGGTGTGCTGAGCTCGCTACGAGCAGCCCCTTCTCAATTCCTCCCTGTATTACTTCACCCCTTCCTTTCATGGCAGGGAGCTTCTGCCCGGGTAGTGGGGTTCAGCCCGAGGCCCGTTCCGTGCCCCCGTAAGGAGGTACGATGACCCCTCCCCTCTTGCTTGGTTCGTGTCCGTCTTTTAGGAAGGCATTGAAAGTACGCCCTGCTGCTAGTCACGTCCGCCCTTGTTCCATTTCTTTCTTTTGTTTCCTTTCGAATTCTTCTTCAAGTCTCTGTCTTCGTCTATGTCTAGTCGTTTTAGGTCTTAGGTCCTGTCGAAGAGGTTTCACGCCACGACAAGCATGACGCGGGAGGAGTTAAAACAGACTGCCCAAGACCGATGTAAATGAATGGATTTGATTCGAGCCCTACACCCCAGCAGAGGGTAATAGGAAATAAAGAAGAAAGAAGACACGATGGTGACCAATAGGGTAACAGTGAAGCCTCCTTCATCATTCCTATTTAAAAGGCCAGTCCAGTAATTAATAATGGCGCACACAAAACACTGACTTCAAATAATATTAATCTCAATTTTCTTGCCAATTAATAAATAATTAAAGATTTCGGCCGGTCGAGATAACTTTGATACAAAGTTAAAGATTCCTTGTCGGGGTGTTTGGAGAAAATATCGAAAATACTGAGAGCAGCTCAGAGATAGAGTATAAACATAATTATCGGAATCGAGAGGCTCTGTTTTTGGATTTGGCTTTTCTTACGTAAAACATTTCACATCAAATCTTTCATTGGAATTTACTTCCACATCGACACTAATATAAAAGTATAATATCAATGATCAGTATCAATAAAGACAAAGTTACTTGGTTCCTATACATTGATTTTCCAGTAGTTATTTAATATGTGATAAACTGGTATCGGATTGCACTTATATCGCAGGATTGTATGTGTAACAGTTGATCGTGACTCTATTAAGAAAGTCATTATTAAAAATGTAGGAATTGTAAAAAAGGAAACACATAATAATCGCTATAACACAACGGAAACATAAAAAATATAACTAAAAAAACATGACATAAAAAATTTACTTCCAAAAAAAGGTTTCATGGAACTTATACTTATTCCGACTCATTAAAGACCTTAAATTTGCTCAGATAAGATCATATTAAGTAACAATATTAAGACCAGATGCCGTTTGGATTTGTGAATTGCTGAACCATTTACAAGACTGATTAGATATCTTTTTACGACGACGTTTAGAAAAACTGTAAAATATTCTAAATATCTGAAATAGTTGTCCCAATTATATCAGTTACCCGCAAAAATCGACGATAATAATATCATATTATTATTTCCATATCTCAAATTCGCACATTCCCAAATAGCCTAACCTTATCACATTTATTCTTAGGCGAAACAATAAGTCACATATTGCCTTAATATTCGAAGACACCACGAAATATTTGCCGAGTCACTGAATGTAAATATGTTTCTTTGCGGAAACAAAACATACGTGCTTGCGTATAATAAATATACGGTTTCGGGAAACGCGTATTTTGAGGAGAAGATCCAATTTTATGGGAGAATGGCTGTTAATATTTAGCCGACGTGCCGCGGAGTGGGTGAGTTAAGTTTCTCATTGGCTCTTGAATTTCATTCGGTTTTCATTGTAAGATTTGGTTAGGTAATGCGAAATGAAGAAGCTATATGCTCCCTTTTTCGGAAAATAGAATGGTTAGTATATTATTATAATTTTTTTTTATTGCCCTTGTAGACAGACGAGCATACGGCCCACCTGATGGTGAGTGGTTACCGTCGCCCATGGACTTCAGCAATGCCAGGGGCAGAGCCAAGCCGCTGCCTACCGCTTAATACTCTCCACAAGCCACGTTTGAAGAAGGACATGTCATAGCGCTCGGAAAACACCGTGGAAGGGAGCTCATTCCATAGCTGGATGGTACGTGGCAAAAAAAAAAAAAAAAACTCACTGTGGATGACCGCAGTGGCTCCAGGTAGTATGGATGAACTCTACTCCGGTGGCGGGCGGTGCGATGGTAAAAACGAGACGTTGGTATCATCTCGAACAATTCCTCAGAGCACTCTCCATGGAACATGCGGTACAAAATACAGAGGGAACCGAGGTCCCTCCGCAGACCCAGAGGTTTAAAAGAGAAATTTATCCGGTAGACGATATTATTCAATTACTCCTGTGGTTAATCATTTATTTGACTTTGATCCGGTCGCCACGAAACTTCACTAGTCCAACTGAAGAATTGATAAAATTCTATCGAAATCGTTCATGCCTTGTCAGAGTCTATAGGGTATAAACGTTGACACATAGACTTTTGTGCTTAAGTAGATAAAACTGTGTTATATGAAGTAAGCCAGCAGATAGATTGTTTTTGTTTTGTGTATTATTATACCTAGTTATTTTTTCTATGGATTAGCGATCAACGGAAATGTGTGGCCACTAATTTGGTGACTTAAAAGATCCAATCGAATATGATATAGAATTAAAAAAAAAAACCGTTTTCCTAGAAAGAACAAGGCAAAAAGGTCTCTTTTTTATTTATTACTTAGATGGGTGGATGAGCTCACAGTCCACCTGGTGTTAAGTGGTTACCGGAGCCCATGGACATCTACAACGTAAATGCGCCACCCACCTTGAGATATAAGTTCTAAAGTCTCAAGTATAGTTACAACGGCTGCCCCACCCTTCAATCCGAAACGCCCTACTGCTTCACGGCAGAAATAGGCAGGGCGGTGGTACCTACCCACACGGACTCTCGTAAGGTGAGAGTTCGACATGTCTCAAAGTACACGGCGGCAGACACGTTGCACGTCCTGAGATTCGATGGTCACATAATTCAAAATACATTGGTTCGTTCAATAAGAGAAGACGCTCACTAAACGCCCTAAATTAATTGTAGAATTTCCAATGTAAATATAGAATAAAATCGAGCCAAATGTTTTCAACTCTTTATCTTATTATTTTTGTCGTGTTCCTCTGTCTGTCCGCCCTTATCAATATTGTCCTATTGAGTCGCGCCACTCAATCGTCATGCAACGGGTTTCGTGTTGATTGTAATTTATTTATTTCATTAAAATCAAGACAGCTTCGCTTGTGTTTTGGGACCGATAAAGTAAGTGATATTTTATTTCCAATAAGGTTTCTTTGCGGGGATAATCAGATTTGTAAATTATTATTTTAATTTATAATAGAGCTCAAAATTAAATTACTAAAATTGCGGTTCTGATTGCTTGTTCTGCAGAGATTCTCAATTTGTGATACATGTATTATGAATATGAAGTTTAACAAGAAACTTTTAACTAATAACTTACTTAATGACAAACTATGAACTTAATAGTGATCTTGAGAGAAACAAGACAAATTTTCTGGAGCGTGTACTTCTATTTGGAGAAGGGTACTCATAAATGGAATGTTTTAAAAAGAGGTGCGAGAACGAAAAAATATTGAGAAGCCTTGCTCTATAGGATTGATCTTTATAAAACCGTGAAAAGTTAAGACCCAAATTTTATACTAAGGATTTGCTTAGGAACCCAGTGGGCTCCAAGGATTTTTAAAATTCTGATGTTATTAAAATATTTATTAAGTTTGACGGGAGAGTCTGCGAAATCTGTTGGGACGTTATCAACATGCCTATTTTTCTTAGAAGTAATTGTAAAGCCATTTTACACTAATAGCTGTTTCATTAGCTTCAGGTGTTTTCGATTCAGGAATTCATGATTTTTTAATGGCTTATAATTTATGATTTTTTGGTGAATTCGATACTAATAACCATTATAATTAGACACTGCTTTATTCCATCCGAATTAGGTTTTTGCTTTGATAGTTGACAGACCTGAAACTTCATCTTCAGTGTTTATCAGAGTTCATAGATGGTATCTACTGCTATTCATGGGACATGTAGACGAAGTCTTAACTGAATGACGGTTGTCCTGCTCTTTAAGCCAGCTTACGCGCGGAGTTAAAATATTCTTTACTCCAGTGCAGAGGTCGGGGAACCGGGGTAAATTACCCCAAACGGGGTAAAATGAAATTTTGGGGGGTAAAAATGAAACTTTTGTGAGTCAAAAGTATATATTGAAGTGAAACTTCTTTAGAATCGTTGTGATTTCAAATTATCATGGGAGCTATAAATATAAAAGATGCTGAAAAGAAGCGATTTCGTTTTTTTTTGTTCTTCGCCATGGGGTAATATCAACTTACACAAAAATATTTTGGGGTAATAATTAAAAAAGTTCCCCGAACGCTGCTCCCTTGCAATGTTACGTAAAAATAAGCTTTTACATTCTACTGTGGCTTATACAGAAACACTTGGTCTAGATTTGTGATTTCTCTGCAATTGCCGCGAAGTTTTCAAACTAATCGGGTAACATTTCATTCAGGCGTAGTGGGTAGTGGGATAAAACTCGCGTTGTCAGCTAAAAATGCCGTTCGTTCGAACGTTTCCTTCCGGTTAACCGGAAACGGTACATCGATTGCCACAGACCACATAATATTCGGACGGGAAATTTTGAATTTTATACTTTTCCATTTCAATGCGCGGATTGGAGAATGATTGGAGAAATCTGTTTTACGATTATATTGCTTAGTTAGTTTAAAATGTATATGCTATTCTCCCACATTTTATTTAAAAAAAATGCTTTTTCAGAATGTTGGAATTTCTTATTTTTTATTGCTTAGGTGGGTGGACGAGCTCGCGGCACACCTGGTGTTAAGTAGTCACCGGAGCCCACAGACATCTCCAACGAAAATTCCGCCACTCATCTTAAAACATGAGTTTTCAGGTCTCCGTTTTTACAATAGAACGGCTGCCCCATCCTATGAACCGAAAGGCATTATTGCTTCACGGCAGAAATAGGCAAGGTGGTGGTACCTACCCGTGCTGATTCACAAGACGTTCTACCTCCAGTAATTGCGCAAATTTTAATTTTGCGAGTTTGATTTTTATTATGACAATATTAATTCTTCGCCGTGGAAGTCAATCGCGAACATCGCTTAAGTACGTATTTTGTTAAAAGAAATTGGTAACAGCCTGTGGGATTTGAACACCGGCACACTCAGATCGCTCGATATGAATGCACCGGGCGTCTTATCCTTTAGGCCACGACGACTCAATGTTTATTAAAAATAAGCATATTGTAAATGGATGTGATTATTACATCGTTTAGTATAATGTAGAAGATGTTTCAATTGATTGAAAATAATCTATATATATAAAAATGAATTGCTGTTCGTTAGTCTCGCTAAAACTCGAGAACGGCTAGACCGATTTGGCTAATTTTGGTCTTGAATTATTTGTGGAAGTCCAGAGAAGGTTTAAAAAGTAGATAAATATGAAAATGAATCGGAATTAAATGAAAATAACAATTTTGTTTTCCCTTTGATGTGTCCACCGTCAGACAGATTCTTTTTGTTTGTTTTAAGTTTATTTTATACAAAAGTTTAGGTCTTTTATTTATTGATTGAGGCATTACGAAGTCTGCCGGGTCAGCTAGTGATGATATAAAACCAACAGTACTATAACAATTGGCTCACCGTTTATGAAGGCGCTCCGTGTGACTAAATTATAACGTAGACACGTTATGTTCAATTCGTAAAGTCAGGTATCTATGTTTACTAGAGGTCCCGCAGTAGTCGAAATTCGACTATAATTAATTGGAATTGTAAGTTTGTACACTATTATGATTTTATTTTATACTTCTATAATCACGAATTTCGCCAAGGCTACACTATATAAAATATTAACAAAGACAACCAATATTTAATCTATTCTCAGTTTGACAACAGACGTCAAGAAGGACTTTTTGGCGGGAACGCGAGGAGTGAAGTTGTGTGATTTTGTTTTATTTTGTTTAATTAGTGTTTCTTCAGGTTTAAATGTGTAATAACGGTGGTTTATTAACCGTTTAATATCTGTGAAAGTGCACAAATGTGGGAAAATGAAACAAAGTTGCTGAACGTAACTTCTCGGGATCTTCCAAAAAGTCAATTGAAAAAGTCTCAGTAAATGACCACCATTTTACTGAAATTATACTTCATCCCATTGTTTCGTTTTCATTTCATTTCATGCCATTTTTCATAATAATCAAATTCATTTCATTTCATAATATCATATTTCATATAAAAAGTTATAATTAAAATTAAAATAAGACTTGACCGTCTTAGTTACCAGGTCATAAAATCCCTTAAAAAAAGACGTCAAGAACAAAAGTTTGACAATAAATAGTATGCATGCGTGTCTGCGTCAAATACATGGTATGTAGTGTGTGTAATGTTTTCTTTATTGATTTAATGTATCTTTTATGCATTATTTTAAAAAAATATTAGCATTGTGCACTTCTTCTCTATATTCTCTATAAGTGTGGAAAATTTCATACTCCTCCGTCCGCGCAATTTTCGTAAAAAGGGATACAAAGTTTTTGCTTCACGTATTAATATATANTGCGTCAAATACATGGTATGTAGTGTGTGTAATGTTTTCTTTATTGATTTAATGTATCTTTTATGCATTATTTTAAAAAAATATTAGCATTGTGCACTTCTTCTCTATATTCTCTATAAGTGTGGAAAATTTCATACTCCTCCGTCCGCGCAATTTTCGTAAAAAGGGATACAAAGTTTTTGCTTCACGTATTAATATATAGATTATGCACAAACGTAGCCAGTATACCTTGTGTTCACGAAAGATCCATTAAGAAATAATTAAAACGACGTAACCATTAAGTACAAAAAAAAAACTTGCAATAAAAAAATAAAATAAAATTAAAGTAGATTTTACCATTCTGCTAATTACTTCGGTGAAGCAGGTATGTGCGTTATGCTCTAAGCTTGGGACGTCCCTTAAAGAAATATAATTTGAATTCATGTCTCTTTCAGACCTTTGTGAATTATCGAAATTTTCGTTCTGAGCTGAATGCTTAGTAATCAAGTAACACTAGGAGGGCATTTGGTTTAAGAGAAAAATAAAACAATATTACAAAAATTTCGCAAAGGAAAAAGCGAATTGCTCTCTCGACGAACAAGAGGCCATCTATTTTAAGGCAAAGCTACCTTATCAAAAAATAATAACATTAAAATATAATGCAGATATTTTATCTTTCGACAGCTTTCGAAAACAAATCTGGGCTGTTAATTTTTTTGCGTTTTTTCCCCCTCGTGAGCATTGATAAGCGTACGCCGAAACAATAAAATGGCTTTACACAATCATGTTTTATATATATTTTTGCCAATTTCTAGGGACAATTTTTTTTTTTAAATATCGACACGTCATTTCAGTCTCACTAGACATTCAAATAATTTTTTTCTTGTTGTTTAATAATGTTTCACAATTTCTCGCGGAAGGTCGCCTTGTGAGCCCACCTAGTGTTAAGTTTTTTTAATTGCTTAGATGGGTGGACGAGCGCACAGCCCACCTAGTGTTAAGTGGTCACCGGAGCCCATAGACATTCACAACGTAAATGCGCCACCCACCTTAATATATAAGTTCTAAGGTCTCAAGTATAGTTACAACGGCTGCCCCACTCTTCAAACCGAAACGCATTACTGCTTCACGGCAGAAATAGGCAGGACAGTGGTACCCACCCGCGCGGACTCACAAGAGGTCCTATCGCCAGTAATTACGCAGATTATAATTTTTCGGGTTCGAAACATGACATGTCTATATTTTTTAAGCTCTGCGTTGTCTCCTAGAAGCCGGAGTCTGCAATTTGCGGTGGCTTGTGTACGCTACAAATAGTTTACACGATTTCGAACTTAGATCCAATACGATGTACTAAAGCATACTGACGTATGTGTACGTATCGAATAGTTTCTGTACTCAAACGTTTGGGTCACCGTGAAAGTTAACTGATTCGTAATCAATTAATTCCCATAATTTGGATTAATAGAAAGTGTAGAGTGATTAGTGTTATGAACCGTACAGAAAAGCCCGTTTGTAATATCTACAGGTGATATTTTTGCAACATTACAGAAAAACCATTTAAAGTTTAAGATTTTGATAAAAGTATCACGACAAAAACATTTTCAGTTCGAATTGAATGTGGTATAAACTTAATTGAAGTTCAATTAAAAACATCGTATTGCTGTTACTTAGGTATACCAAATAAAACGGATCTTTAATTAATTATGATAAAGGTTACGTATTAACCGAAATATCGCTTAAATCAAATAAACTTTCATCCCTCGATATACGAGTATAGACAGTAAAAGTGAAACAGTGCAGGACCAAGATCAACCGGATAATAAGCTAGTCTCCTTATAAGGATAATATAACTATATAAATAATCGTTACAGGAGTTCGAAGAATTGGGGTTCAATCCGGTCTTGATCAAGTTTCTTTTTGAAGTACTGTTGAAGTTTCAAAAGACTCCTGTTATCTATACTAATATATAAATCTACAGTGGTTTTTACGGATGTTCCGTTATAACTACTGAACCATGCATCCTATTGACTTGAAACTTAGTATCTATGTAGAAAATACATGTACCTAAAGGATAGGTTAATATTTATATGAGTGTTGTACTCCTTACACTAGTTGCGGGGGCGTTAATGATGATTATTTTTAATGGGGGTGAGAAATAATAATGTTAATTTTAAATGCCCAGCGCAGCGGACGGATACAGTTAGTTTGTTTATAAATGAAAATTCGAATAACGAATTGTTGTTATTTTGGATTCTAGTGGAAGAACAAAGTTCATCGACTTTGGAAGCCGAAGCACTGTCGAGGGATGTGGAACAGCGGGACAGTCAAAATGGCCACCCCAAAGTCCTCGTCCGCATGGAGACAATTCCGGATATCAAAAGGGATACATCCGGAATCACCACGCAATATGTGGGCACCGGTATAGGTTAGTTTCGATTTTTTGAAGTGATATATTGAAGTGAAACTTCTAATGCGACTTCCAACAAGGTTGCGTTAAACATTTAACGCTACCATGGAATAGAAAGAGATAGAGCGAGAGTGAATGCGTCACTCGAGCGCATGCGCGTAGTATACCTGTTACAGGCCAGCGCGAGCGTTAGCAACGAGTGTCGTCCAATATTTTAATGAAATATTTCAAACAAAATATATATTTATGTCTCTATCTATAATTTAAAACATATATAATGTAAATGTTGAAGAAGTCGCATCTCTTATACACAACATTCCCTATTACAAGAGCAACCTGACTTAAAGAATAAAAATGAAGAAAATCACAATACTACATATCGAAAAAGAAGTTTCACTTCATTCACGTGTACCAAGTTTCACGCGCACTTTTTTTTTAGTTCATAGCACTTGAGTCTATAGTTTTTATTTTGTTTAATTCTTACGTTCTCTAAGGTTAAAAGGTTTATAATAAAAGTACATTAGGCTCCTTGGAGATAGTTCGAAAAATATATATTTGTTGAACACGTATGTGATATCATTTTAATTTAACTTTTTGATTGCGGAGTTTAAGGTTGATAACTTAGCGAGGATTGTGCCCACAAGAGCTGTTATAAACAAAAAAAATGCAGTATGCAGTTAGCAGAAGATTTCTATGGTTGTTCTAAATTACCAGAAGATCTACTGGTATTTTTTTATACTGTGGAATTGGCAGTATTCTATACCCTCAAGGCTAAGTATCACCATCCAGCAGAGAAAACTCTATTCAATACAATTAAGGCTTTAACCTTACGTCTTAAAGTGGAATTTACAATACGATATCTATGAGCTCTGACAACCATTTAAAACCAGTTTGACCTTGAGTTAAAAATAACAATAAGGGTAATTCTTATTATTTATTCACTTTAGAAGAATATATTAATTTTTCATTTAACAGAATAAAATCATTTTCTGTGTATGATGCTGGTTTTAGTGAACCTTGGTGCTTTTGCCGCTGGAGTCTGTGTAGCGTGGTCATCATCAGCGTTGCCATTATTAATCACTGAATACGGAAAGGTGAGTGAATTAACATATCTCCATAATTAACATATTGCGGTAGGCAGCGGCTTGGCTCTGCCCCTGGCATTGCTGAAGTCCATGGGCGACGGTAACCACTCACCATCAGGTGGGCCGTATGCCCGTCTGCCTACAAAGGCAATAAAAAAAAATCTCCTAAAATGTATGCGTCTTTGCTTATCTATCAAAAAAAGTAATCTTTCGATATGAATTTTTTAAAGAAAGCCGTAATTTTCATAAACTTTGAACTAATCTTAATTAATTATCAAGCAATTAAACTACTCGCTTAAATAACAGTAAATAACGGACCATAAACCCAATTACACACGAACGTGTCATTAAGAACCCAAAACCGCTCGTCTACACAGTACAAAGCGCTAAAGGTTAAATTTACACTCAGCCGTGCGGTGTACCCCTGCCCTAGCATCATGGAGTGACTATAAATAAGGTTTTCATTAACGACAACTGATAAATTAACTTGAGGCTTCCACGTGCCGTCAATTCCTAACAAATACACGGGCGTATTTAACGCAGCGTTTTAAATGCGAAACACTAATCAATATTAATTAAAATAAATAATAAACATTTGATTAAAAAAATGATTTTGAGATACTTAAAAATAAAAGATACTTAAAATAGAGAAGTCGTCGTGGCCTAAAGGATAAGACGTCCGGTGCATTCGTGTGTAGCGATGCACCGGTGTTCGAATCCCGCAGGCGGGTACCAATTTTTCTAATGAAATACGTACCCAACAAATGTTCACGATTGACTTCCACGGTGAAGGAATAACATCGTGTAATAAAAATCAAACCCGCAAAATTATAATTTGCGTAATCACTGGTGGTAGGACCTCTTGGGAGTCCGCACGGGTAGGTACCACCACCCCGCCTATTTCCGCCGTGAAGCAGTAATGCGTTTCGGTTCGAAGGGTGGGGTAGCCGTTGTAACTATACTGAGACCTTAGAACTTATATCTCAAGGTGGGTGGCGCATTTACGTTGTAGATGTCTATGGGCTCCAGTAACCACTTAACACCAGGTGGGCTGTGAGCTCGTCCACCCAATTAGCAATAAAAAAAAATATTTCAGTACAATATTAAGCTCTAATAGGTTCTAAACGTTAGGTAGGTAGTTACTATATTTACGTAACGCTTAGAGCCCTAAATTTTATGTCAATGTTACGTCAATTATTAAATTCTCTTCAAAAACCTTAGTTAGAATAATGGTAGAATATATTATTAGAGACAAATAGATGGGGTGGAAAACAGTGATTAATGTTTTTAACCATCTATTTATCTCTGTTTCAATTTAATAAAACTTTCGCCTGCCAAACGTAATAATTATCGCTGATTTTACATGATTTTTGAAAGAGAATTAGTGTCTTGTATGAAATACGAACGTAAAGGGCTAGTAGATGGATTTTTTTTCGCTATAAGGCGTTTTGTAACCAATCATTCAAACAATCATTTAGTAAAAAGGTTATATATTTTTACATAAATTAAATTAGATCGTTTATTTATTTGTTTAAATTATGTTTATTATTTATTTATTGCGAAATTTAATTTGATGTCAAGTCAAATCAGATTCACCAGATTCCAAGATAACCAACAAGATAAGATTTGACGTGTATAAAAGAGGATAGACGAGAGAAGGTTGTGAGTGTAAAGATGATGTGTGATACGCCTGAATGAAAAAAAGAGGACTTCCCTACATAATGCAGGATAAGGACTAGAAGAAGAAGCGGTAGAACCCTTATGTGCTCACAATTCGTCCTATTACTAGTCCTAAATTTAAACTGGTTTAGAACAAGCGAGGTCTCAACGCCGCTAGAGGCCTATCAATAATTAAAAAAGTCGTCAATAAATAATGTAATAAAACGGTATTTGACCCAATAAAACCGACGACGGCGGAGCGAACTTCGAAACTGTAACTTTGAACTGGAGCTTTCTGCCGAAGTTCCCGGAACAGTCGGCTGACAGTTTGCAGCACGCGAAACACCGATTTATGATATTGCTACTTACTGTCATAAAGGTAATAAAGTTCGGACAGTATACTATTACAGTATTTCGAAAGAAGAGAGAGAAGACGAATGAGAGATTCGAAGATCCCTAATTTTTTTCAAAAAAGAATATACCCTATGTCACTCTGGGATAGTGTAGCTTCCAAACAGTGAATGAATTTTTCAAATCGGTTCAGTAGTTTCGGGGCCTATTCAATACAAACAAACAAACAAAATCTTTCCTCTTTATAATATTGGTATAGAAGTGCAGATTACTGTCAGGGCCAGATTTGTATAAAAGAAAATTAAATAAGATCGATAATAAATTACTGTTCCCAAAGCAAAACGAGGGCCAGTTATTAGTATGGTACACTATGGCCTTGTTACGAAGCCTACTATTGATTATAAGTACGAGGCTTACAAGAACAGGAGGCGGCAAGTCGCGATTGCGGTTACAAGCCGTATCGCGGACTTGGGAATTTATCGTACTTTACGCTAAACTTTATTGGTTAACTTTACGTAGGCGAGTGAAGTTTGTGAGTAACGCGAAAATTAGCTTTGCACAATGAACATTCGGGCGTAACAACCGATAAAAGAATTAAATGTAATTAACATTCTAATCGGATTTTTGCGGAACCCTCGTGTCGAAGTCGTCGTGGCCTAAAGGATAAGACGTCCGGTGCATGTATCGGGCGATGCAACGGTGTTCGAATCCCGCAGGCGGGTACCAATTTTTCTAATGAAATACGTACTTAACAAATGTTCACGATTGACTTCCACCGTGAAGGAATAACATCATGTAATAAAAACCAAACTCGCAAAATGATAATTTGCGTAATTACTGGTGGTAGGACCTCTTGTGAGTCCGCACAGGTAGGTATCACCACCCTGCCTATTTCTGCCGTGAAGCAGTAATGCGTTTCGGTTTGAAGGGTGGGGCAACCGTTGTAACTATACTGAGACCTTAGAACTCTTATCTCAAGGTGGGTGGTGGCATTTACATTGTAGATGTCTATGGGCTTCGGTAACCACTTAACACCAGGTGGGCCATGCGCTCGTCCACCCATCTAAGCAATTAAAAAAAAACCCTGCTTGGCAACTGGTTTTCAGCTATGAACAAAGCTTCAAATCAATCGTGGGAATAACGCATCAACACGAATAAATATTATGCAAGGCCAAATTATTTTACATGTCGTCGAAGAGCTTTTATTTGTCTCTACTTATTGGCTGGATATTCTCGCCTGGGTTGGTCAACCTGAGGGAATTTGCATTAGCTAGTATTAACTAGTCCTATCTGGAGCAGAATTCGCAGAATATACCCCCCGTCCGAAATCGCGACCAATTGAGAAGATCCGGCTAGTAGAATAATACCAAAAATAAATAAGATATTAAACCGTAAAACTACGTTAAGGAGTTCTCGTTAAGCTGTGCAGTAAATAACGTATTTTTGTTTAATCCATTCGCTACAGCAGACCTCGCTGCTAAAGATTTCCCATACAACGGAGCTCCATACTGAAATCACCAATCGTATATAGGCAATGTTTTTCAGCCGGTGACTATGTTCACTGACAGTAGCGAAAAGTTTAAAGATGGCTTTTGGAATATTTATAAGGTGATCTAGTCCGATGAGTATTACTTAGTTTTATAGTGTGAGTTGATGTACATAATAATATGTGCGTGTTTTGTTGCTTTTGTTTTTTTGTGTAAACTTAAATTTCTACATTTCTCTTCTCTGTTCACTTTCTACTTATATTTTTGATTTTGATGGTGGAAACATGTTTGGTTATTGTTTTAGCTATTTTTTAAAATATTATATGTTTGTATTGTACTGTTGATTTCCCAAATAAATACACAAAAATAAAAAAAATAAAAATAAATATGAGACGAGTACATTTAAATTTTTTTTATTTTAGGATTATACTACACCGATACCGGACTGGGCAGAGCAGAATTCGACTTATGATGAAAACTTTAAAACTCGTCTGGAGGTAAGCGCTTAAATAACTTTAGATCTGGTTTTTGAAGTGAAACATCTTTAGGCGCATGAGGGTAAAATTTTTGCAGAACGTCACGCAGGTATGCAACGGAAGTGACATAAAACTACTATTGAAATTAAGTACTTGCCAAATGTCAGTAGTAGTAGTTGTTGTATTTTTCCAACTGGAAAGGCAAATGTATCCATACCATACAGCCTAATATTTTATAATTTTTTTGTGAAAAATGTTAATAGGAATTGAAATGAAATGAAAATAATTTGGAACATTAATAAAATAGCATGAAATTAAATTAGTCAATTCAATTGGCAAAATATTAGTCATTTACAATTTAGAAATCTAAACATAATGTGACTGTCAACACTGAGGTTTGAGATTGACATTTGACAGACTTTTGGCGGGAACATATCTTCCTTTTTCCCTTCCTCTAACTCTCGGAAATCTAAAGTTTTAGATTTGTATAAATATAAGCAAGACTTATAAATTAGTTCGCCAAAAAAGTTTCACTTCTGACATGTGTACTTTGTACGCACGCACTTTTTTTTATTTTATTTCCTATATATTTGATATCTGTTTTTTTGGTCCTAAAAGTGTTCAGATTAGAAAAAATGATGTATTGTAGACATTTATTTTTAAAATGAACACCTATTGTTAAGTTTTAGGTAAGAACGAACTTTAAGACATAATTTTTTTGAAGTGAAACTTCCTTATCGGCGTTGGAAAAAAATTTACCGTCACATTTTTCGGTTACGCGTCACATTTTTCCGTTACGCGCCATCTTTTAATTAACGGCTGTATGTTCTGAAGTATGGATGCGCATTTGAGAAACCGACCTCATGTCTCAAGGTGGGTCACGGAATACATTTTGTAATTGCAATAATCCCAGGTAACCCACTTAATATCACGTGGACCGTGCTATTATTGTTATTACGTAAAATAATAGGAAGAAAAGTACCAGGGTATTATGATATCAAAGAGATGTATTATTATAACTTTACTCTGACGTACAGCCTTCTTTATTAATTAACGGCTGTATGTTCTGAAGTATGGATTCCGATTTGAGAAATTGACCTCATGTCTCCAGGTGGATTACGGAAATCATTTTGTAATTCCAATAATCTCAGGGAGCCCACTTAATAATATCACGTGGACCGTGCTATTTATTACTGTTATTACGTAAAATAATAGGAAGAAAAGTACCAGGGTATTATGATAGCAAAGAGATTTATTAATAATTAACGGCGGTATGTTCTGAAGCATGGTTTCGGATTTGAGAAATCGACCTCATGTCTCAAGGTGGGTCAAACTTCACGAACCTCAGGAACCCCATTTAACACCACGTGGACCGTGCTATTATTATTAATTTATAGGAAGAAAAGTACCAGGGTATTATGATATCAAAGAGATGTATTATTAAAATGCTGTAATAATCTTAGTAGCAAAAAGGTAAAGTGAAATAATTGTATTATTTGTATTCATGTCTATGATAATAAAATCCTTTTGTTATATAGATACTCCAAGTGGTGATTTTACTGATGAAACGTTTTTCATTTAGTTGTCAGATACCCAAGGATCCTGGGTGGCGTCACTCTTGTGTTTGGGAGCGGTGTTTGGCGCTGTACCCTCTGGCCTGATTTCCGAATACTTCGGTAGGAAAAAGACATTACTGTACTTGGCTTTACCACTGCTCGTCTCTTGGATTCTAGTCGCTTCGAGGTGAGGATTTGTTTTCATTAATGATAAACAAATCTTAGTAGACTAAAGAGAGGATTTTTTTATTAAATCAGTGTATTTAAGCAAGCAAACTTAAGTAGATCAGTATGGAGATTCTTACTAATTGTATAGGGAGAGGAAACTTCATAGGTTTATATGTTCTGAAAAAGCGCAACGAATTTTTTATTTTTTTTATTGCTTAGAAGGGCTCACAGCCCACCTGGTGTTAAGTGGTTACTGGAGCCCGTAAATGTCTACAACGTAAATGCGCCACCCACCTTGAGATATAAGTTCTAAGATCTCAGTATAGTTACAACAGCTGCCTTACCCTTCAGACTGCTTCACGGCAGAAATAGGCAGGGCGATAGTACCTACTCGCGCGGACACACAAGAGGTCCTACCACCAGTAATTATGCAAATTTTAATTTTGCGGGTTTGATTTTTATTACACGTTGTTATTCCTTCACCGTGGAAGTAAATCGTGAGCATTTGTTGAGTACGTATTTCATTAGAAATTGGTACCCGCCTGAGATTCGAACACCAGTGCATCGCTCAACACGAATGCACCGGACGTCTTATCCTTTAGGCTATGACGACTTCAAAACGAACGAATTTAAGTTGCAAGTGAAACATTTTACGACTAAGACTTTCAACTAATATAAATAATGAAAAACATCTTTAAGGTAGTAAGGTAATTTTTTGAATATTTCAGCCCAAACGTCTATGGTTTATATGTCGGAAGATTTGTGGGAGGAATAGCTGTGGGCGCATTCAGTGTTAGCATACCGCCTTACGTCGAAGACATAGCCGAAAAACATCTGCTCAAGACCTTAGCCAATTTCTATCACGTCGATTTTAATTGTGGCGTTTTGTTTGGGTACTTTATAGGTGAGTGTCATGAATATTAAACCAGGATTTGTCAAGAAACATTTACCTTTTTTTTATTATTGTTTAAGTTGGTGGACGAGCTCACGGCCCACCTGGTGTTAAGTGGTTACTGGAGCCCATAGACATTTACGACGTAAATGCGCCACCCACCTTAAGATATCAGTTCTAAGATCTCAAGTAAGGTTACAACGGCTGCCCCGCCCTTCAAACCGAAACGCGTTACTGCTTCACGACAGGAATAGGCAGGGTGGTGGTACCTACCCGCACGGTACACCAAAATAAGTCCTACCACCAGTAAAGTATTTTTATAACACAATAGACTAACTAGTCCATTCCGATAGAGGCACCCGTCACGTGCGGACGTGCTCATCGTCCACTCGATCGCCCGGTCTTTGTTCGCCCGGCTTTTGTTAGCCCGGCCATTGTTCGCGCGGCCTGTGTTCGTGATACATCTGCCGACCAAGTGTGTTTCCTGGAAGCTTTTATTTGTTTTGTTTTAGTTATTTTTGTGTTCGTGGAACATTTGNTTTCAATCATAAAAAAAAAAAAAACTAACTAGTCCATCTTTTCACAAATTTCTTTCATTTAAAATGGAGAAGGAAAACAAAACCCAGTACTAGTATCTTAAATTAGCTTTGAAAGTAAATATTGAGCATACGAATTCAAATAATGGAAAAACTTTTTATGGATACGTACAGGCCTTTTAGTGCGTTGCCAAATAATTATAGACCAAATAACTAATTTCAATTTTCTTGGTTACAGGTATAGTTGGAAACGTGTCTTGGCTTTCGGTTCTTTGCTCTTTAATACCCATCGCATTCTTCATTGCGTTTATATTCTTACCAGAATCTCCAACTTATCTGATGTCTCAGGGTAAATATAGTGAAGCCAAAGCAGCTCTGAGGTACTACCGAGGGATCGATAATGACATAGACGGAGAAATCAGAACATTGAGAGATTACTTGATGAACGCTGGCAAAAACAGGGTTTCATTCAAAGAGCTCTTCACTACGAGAGGCATGTTGAAACCTCTCTTGGTCTCTTTCTGTCTAATGATTTTTCAGCAAATGAGCGGGATTTATGCTGTTCTTTTCTATGCGAGAAAAATATTCAAGAATCTATCTGTCTCACTGAATCCGCCGAATGCTGCAATCATTCTAGGTTTCGGTCTGGTTTCTTCAACGTACTTCTCGACAATGCTGCTGAAGGTAGTCAGACGCAGAGTGTTGTTGATGACGTCATTTATAATGATGGCCTTAAACTTGGGCGGGTTGGCTATTTATTATCATTTGCAAGCTACGAATTTTTCATCCAATAATACGGGGGTGCCATTGTTCACTTTGTGTTTCTTCGTGATATTTTACGCCGCTGGAGCCGGTTCTATACCTTGGCTGATGCTTCGGGAGATATTTCCTCCACATGCAATCCGAAGGGCGACTGCCATAACAGCTGGTGTCCATTGGTTCCTGGCTTTCACTGTCACAAAATTATACCAGAATTTAGAAGATTTAGTGAAGCCCGGCTGGGCGTTTTGGCATTTTGCCGTTTCCTGCGTAGTTGGTACAGTGTTCGTTTACTTCTTTGTACCAGAAACTAAGGGTAGAAGCTTAGAAGACATACAAAACGAATTTGAAGGGATCCATAAGAAGAAAAGACACCGCCATGTGATTGAAGTCGAAAGTTTATCAGAGGTTTAAGTTAAGACTGTTCGGGATTTTAATCAAAACTCAGAAACAGTCGGGAACTTTTACTAAATACTAAAATATTATTTCAGGGCTTTGATTAAAATGATCTTAAATTATTATTTTACTATTGTTTTTATTTTGTAACTAGACGTAAGGCTGGTGAGGCTAGGGATAAGTATCATGTTTTCCAAGAGATAAATACAGAGACAGAAATATATTTATTTTAAAAGTACGATAATGTAGTTTTATATGTAAAATCTTTTTATCCAAGAGAAATTTTTTATGAATTTTTCAGGGTCTTGATTCGTTGTCTTAATTTTTAACAGCACTTTTTATTTTGCTCGTCAATGATTTATGAATGTGACCTACATTTCTTTATTGCCTAAGCACTATGCATCCATATAGATGGATAAACGACCTCGTGGTCCATCTGGTGATGTGGCGATCGGAGTCCATACCTCAAGCACCGGTGATCGTTCCCATCGAACCCGTCGCTTACGACGAAGGGCTCGACGAGAAAATTAACCAACAGATACAGCCCATTGAGTTTCTCGCCGGATTTACTCAGTGGATCGCGTTACTGATCCGGTGGTAGATTCTGCGAAGCACGGCTCTTGCTAGGGTTCGTGTTAGCAACGTCGTCAGGTTTGAGCCTCGTGAGCTCACCTACTAGTTAAGGTTATGCTGAAATAGCCTCTCAAGGCTCAGTTTAGGTAGGAAAAAAAGGAGTCCATACATATCCCAACGTGAATGCTGCTAAAGACTTTCGAAGCTTAAGTTGTGTTGTATGACGATTGTTCGAGATTTCAAGGCAGAACACAATTGTTAGAACGGCACGGTTATTTAGTACCGATTTGCCTGTGAGCAACAAGATAAACTACAGTATTAAATTACTTGAATTTCGGTATTACATAAATACGGTAAAATCCCCAGATAGATATTCTATAAGCGAGGGTCGTTCCTATGTTTCCCTTTTTTCTGCCTACCTATTCACTGGTAGCCTAATAGGCTATTTCAGCTACGCGCATCGGGTACGTGAGCTATCACTAGAAGATTAGTAGGCAGCTGCTTGGCTCTGCCCCTGGCATTGCTGAAGTCCATGGGCGACGGTAACCACTCACCATCAGGTGGGCCGTAAGCCCGTCTGCCTACAAAGGCAATAAAAAAAAAAAGAAGATTGCACAAAGTGGGAATGAGTTGCTCGCTCCGGGCATTTCGATATTGCAATAATTGTTACGTTATAATACTCCTTGTAAAAATGCATATTTAAAAAAAATCTAATATTTAAAAAAAAAAAACCTAATATTTAAAAAAAAAGACATGCCCGCTGAGTTTCTTGCCAGTTCTTCTCAGGGCGGAGGCTAGTTTTTGTGAATTGGCGGTAGTTCTTTTTGACGGTCAACAAGTATGTGCTTTCATTTATGTTGAATAATTTTTTTTTGATTTGATTCGATTTGACTAGCAAGAATAGAGCTTCGCAGAATCTACCACCGGATCGGAATCACGACCCACTGAGACGATCCGTGGAGAAACTCAGTGGGCTGTGTCTATGAGTTATTTCGCTCGTCGAAGTCTCCGTCGTAAGCGACAAGTTCGTCGGATAAGTTATATTTAATTTAGTCATTGATATCATCGAGATATTAACAAAATCTTGACAGTATTTTTTTCTTAGCTATATAAAGGAGGCTTGTGGAGAGTATTAAGCGGTAGACAGCGGCTTGGCTCTGCCCCTGGAATTGCTGAAGTCCATGGGCGACAGTAACAACTCACCATTAGGTGGGCCGTACGCTCGTATGCCTACAAGGGCCATAAAAAAAACCGCATGAATGACCAGCAAAAATATGTTAGATTTCAAAGCGGACGAAGTATTGAAATGTAGCAAATATTTTGAATTACGAAACCTGAGCTTCCTATAACAATAAGCGTTGATTAACATTAGAGCCTTAAGGTGTATCCAAGACCCGAACGTGACGAATTAAATACTATAAATTCTAATTGGTTCTCATTTAATATTAATAAACGTACCACAATATTTAAGAAAAAAAGCATTTTAAAATCGGTTGAAAACCGGAAATAGACAAAAAAAAAACACAAAACATTATAACATGTCATGTAACAATTATTTCCACTTAGTTTTGGAACTCATATCCTCACGCCGTGCGTAAAGTTAAATACAAAGCGAATTCCTGGAACCTCCGCAATATCTCCGCAACATAACAAACAAGGCAATAACACCCACAGAACTACATACCGTTCTTAACCATCGTTCAGATTGGTTCCTCCTGCACGAGTTTCGTCTGATTTATATGCGAGTCAGGACACTTACCGCAGAACTTTATTAGCACTCGGCATACACCGTCCTGAGAATCGCTAATTTTCGGATTCTTGCTTATTCCGTTCCCGTATCCGACAATCAACGTTTCCTTGGAAATGTTCTCTTTTTAATGGACGCGAACGAAGGTAGCTTTTGCGGACCAGCGCTCCAGCGTGGGAGGATTGTCCCTTTGAAATTAACAAACGTGAGGTCTTTCACGAGGACTTCTTTAGGTTCACCACGTGCCCGTTTTAATTACTTTAACTTTCTTTATTCGGATAGCAAATGTACATGTTTTTCTATTTTAAGCCACATTGTTTAGATTATGACTCAGAAAAGAAAATTTAATTTTACAGTACAGTATAATTTATCAGCAATTTAAACCTGTAAGCAACGGTATACTAGAACGCTACGGACACAAGTCAGATAAAAGTTTTTTTGGTAGGTACAATAAATACTTCGCTCGGAATACCACCAATGATTCGCTTTTAAATGAGATGTATGGAAATGGTAGTGCAAGGTAGAGGGGAAGAGGTCGACCGAAGAACACATGGATGGAATGTGTGAATGACGATATGAGAGAGAGAGGAGTGAGTGTTGAGATGACGGCTGATACAAGAGAATGGAAGAGAAAAATTAGCTGTGCCGACCCCACCTAGTGGGATAAGGTGGAGAAAAAGAAGGTTCGCTTTCAAAAGAGTTATGATTTGGAAACTTGTAATATAGTATTTTGTTTACTACTAACGAAATGTAGGGAACAGTTCTGCTTCGATTGATGGTACAGCCGTCTTATAGTGTAAGAGAAAGCCAATTTCGTGCGCCTTTGTACCTATTGACCTTGATAAGAGCTGTATAACACCAAAAGAATCGTCAAAATTAAGATTAAATTTTTCTCATCGATTGCAAAGTGCTATTAAAAAAGTAAATTAAGATAATTCAAACGTGTTCCCCTATTCGAACGAGTCACAATGATATGCAAATGTTTGTCAGTAGTTGTGTTTGGGTAAAGGTCCGAATATCAAAACGCCGTTTACTTCAGAATGTCGGCCCTCCAGGGAATCGGTAACGTGAAAAGTTTCCTGATGACCATTCATATTTTTCGACAAACGAATTACGTAAGCGTTTGTCAGAGTTACCGGCAGGGCTTTAGAAGTTTCCTTTTCACTTGAGGTGTTTGTATGGAGATTGTGTTTTTCCTTGCACCTTTGACGTCACACTTGTTGCTAAATTATTCCTTACTATAACGTATATAGGGTCGAAGTTTCAATTACATTTTATCAAGGCTGTACCACATCTAATTCGGTATGAATGACTGTTTAGTGGCCAAAATAGGTAGCATGACCTACCCGTGCGGACACATAATCCGCACACCTTACCACCACAGGAATGTTTGAGGATACCACTAGTATCGATTGATAATAGGCGACTAGGGTCATTATCGAGGGTTGAATTCCCACATACTGAGATTGATACGAAATAATGAAAAATTATTTGATTTAACTCAAATGCCAGAAAACCGAAGTAGTCGCGGCCTAAAGGATAAGACGTCCGGTGCATTCGTGTTGAACGATGCACCGGTGTTCGAATCCCAGGCGGGTACCAATTTTTCTAATGAAATACGTACCCAACAAATGTTCACGATTGACTTCCACGGTGAAGGAATAAGATCGTGTAATAAAAATCAAATCTGCAAAATTATAATTTGCGTAATTACTGGTGATAGGACCTCTTGTGAGTCCGCACGGGTAGGTACTACCACCCTGCCTATTTCTGCCGTGAAGCAGTAATGCGTTTCGGTTTGAAGGGTGGGGATGGCGTTGTAACTATACTGAGACCTTAGAACTTATATTTCAAGGTGGGTGGCGCATTTACGTTATAGATGTCTTTGGGCTCCAGTAATCACTTAACACCGGGTAGGCTGTGAGCTCGTCCACCCATCTCAAACCAAAACTCAAAAACCAAGGCTGATCGGATCAAAAACATTAAAATTCATTTCTCGACTCTTTATATTTCATCGTCACAACGCCGGGCCATATCTTATCCGAAAGGCATTACAGACATCAAAACACTTCATAAATCAAATTTAGCTCGCGAGCAAGCTTTGATAAAGTCCTCTGACAAAGCTACCTGTTGATAAACGTTAGCGTAAATTCGATTTTGAATGTAATTTAGCTTTCGCCCCCCGGAAAAGCATTCCACGGCTTAATATTATATACGTTTTAACTTCATTCATTCGCGAGAAAAGAACATTTACATGCAAAAGAAAGCATGGAACCGAGCTGGTTTTCATTTAAAGGTAGGAAAAAAGTTACTCGGGAGTGTTTTTTTTTTTTTTTTGTGAATTTTTATGAGGCACTTGTCTCTGTGCCTTGTGTTCTACGGTACAGAAGAACGACGAACATTTTTAGAAATAAATTCTCGTAGATCAATCGTTTAGAAGTCTACTATGAACAAGCTTAGCTTGGTTTTATTTTTTTAGATAAATTGTGTTTTTTAGAAATTATACTTAAATACGAATTACATATTGATAAAATGATTCCAATATCGTTCAGGCATTTTTAAGTGAACATGTGAGTTAAAAAGACACATCTATATTAATATTATAAAGAGGAAAGATTTGTTTGTTTGTTTGTTTCGAATAGGCTCCGAAACTACTGGACCGATTTGAAAAATTCTTTTTCCATTAGAAGCCGACATTGTCCCTGATGAACATAGGCTACTTTTAAAAAAAAAAAAAATATTTTTTTGGTTTCATGTGTGTTTTAATGTTTCCGAAGCGAAGCGAGGGTGGGTCGCTAGTATAATATAAATAAACAATTCATTTTCTTGGTCTAACCTTAAACCAAACACTCATTGTCTTCGGGTGGCTTAA